GACACGATCGAGTTCCGTCGGTCTGGACATGTGACCGGGCAAATCCATCTCAAGGAGACTTTCAGAATTGCTGGTTTAGCATCTCAAAGCATGTGCGATTCAGGTGCATGTCAGTCGCATATTCCTTTCCATTGTTCTATACTCAGCGTTTATGGTGACGCTGACCCTATCGCTGCCTCTTTCTGTACACTTCAAAGCACAGATCAAAGTATTTCTACATCTACATGGAAGATCAGCATGGATCCCTGGACATCGGCCGCTTCAGCAGTACTAGTTTTCAGCACAAATATGGATGACGATAGATGGAAGCCTTTCGATAACTCCTCAATAAAACTACTTCAACCTAATACCAAAGACGAGTGGGAATCTTACGATTTTGGTTCCGGGTCTGTGGTCAACATCACATTATGTTATAACGTTATGAACGTTATGCTGTCAAATGTTTCGATGAGTACCAATATAGATCTCACGGAACCGAAGCTTGGGTACAAATCTGATCTTTCCGACTCAGCAGATATTCGGAATTTTTTTGGGGCAAACCCAATGGTTCAGGACCTGAGCGAACGGGGCGTTTTGAAGATCGGTAATATTACTGACAAGGAAGATTACATCTACGGCGTTTCGGATTTTAGTGAACTATCGCAGTCTGATCTAGGTGCCGGCATAATGGACTCTATCATTCAATACAAAACGGCCAATGAAACACTGTGGGGGTGCGATAGCTGCGAAGGAGACGCCATCACTGTAGCTAGAGCATTCACGGAACCATTTCTCGACATTATAATAAGCACACAGCGAGCGTCCGTTGCTTTGCAAACTATTTATACTATGCTTGCTCTGAGCACACATGACCAAATTCTACCATTTTGTACCGTTTCAATCCCGGTTAAAGTGGTTCAAACTCAATCGACGATTATTCCAATTCGTTACTTAGGTCTGATTGCGGTTACTGCAATAGTACTGATCAATATCGTATGCATTTTGACACTGACGGCTTTGTACCTCTTTTACTCCCGCTACTCCATGATCGGAAATTTCTGGCACGCTATCTCGCAAGCAGCATCAGCTGTTACCTCGGATATATTATCCTACAGCAACATGAAGAAAGATTGCGACATCTCTAATCTCATTGGGGAAGCTGACCACCCCGTCCGACTTATGAAGTTACCAGAAACTAGTCTCATCAAGATCATGGAGGTCGAACCTGTTTCTGGCGAGCCGCTTAGTCCGACGAGGTCCGGATGATACATGAGGGCTATCTACATGAGGACGAGGAAATGGGTGGGAGCGGCCCCCTAAACGGGATCAGAGGGGAACGCGAAACAGTATGAAGCAGGAAACGTCGAGCGTTTGAGAGAAAAATGATCAATGCCTTGGAGGGAAGTGGACTCTGAACGTATAGGAAGATTTGTGTTGGCGTAAGGAGGTGAGAAACTCGGAGGTCGTAAGTTGGATTTTATGAACGCCATTTTGTATACAAGCTTTCCCAGTCTTCAGCTCATGAATGTGTCTATTGGTAATTGTGCGTGCCTCCCAAGTAGTGAAAACATTGTAGTTTATATACTAGAAGGTGAGACAAGACGGATTACTAATCTACTTCTAGATACTTCTTGATGGCAAAAATGCCCATCAGGTCCCATACCGACTAATAGCTACGCGTATCTCGAAGACGTCTCTAGCCCGGATGACCCAAGTAGGTTTGAACAGGACAATTCAATATAGCATCTATCGCTTCAGAAGAGTCGGTGGTTCATACGTATATGGACCCTTCAAGAACTTATTGCACCATCAACTGTTAAATTTTTCTCAAAAGGGGCATCACTAGGCAGTAAGGAATCGCTGGAGCGACTTATCCGCGATATCACCAGTATCCTGACTAAGGCACTCGGGGGAGCTAGTTACGAAGGAGATGGGCTCAAACACACGAAACTACAAGACCCGAAGACACGACGTCAGTGCTAGAATATAAACTTTTTATTTTATTTTTGGGGGCAAAGGTGTCGCACTAAACCTAGATTTTCTCTAACTATTGTTCTCTATGACACAGCCTGAGAGCCCCTTTCTTTAAGCAACTCATTGTTTGCTGTGATAAGATAGACAGCTTCACGTACTTATAGGGATACCAAGGCCTTGAAGAGGTATGTGCATATGTTGGCAAGAATGCTGCTGCACATACACGCCATCTCTACCTGAGGAGAACGACCTTAAGGGTAAGACTCTCATAGTCCAGTAAGAGGTCAAAATTCGGTTCATTTCAGAAGGAACGGGCAGCTTCGGGCGAAACCTACCATCACTATGAATCCAATATGAAGCAAAAGCCACTAGTTGAGCCGACTTCTTGGAGCCTAATACCGGAAGCTAGAGTATTGCTACCTCAAAGGCCAGAAACAGCCTTTTGTTATTATTCTAACCATGAGGAGGAACCGAACCGGGAACACAGACACTTATTCTTACAACCGCCATACCTAATCTCCGTTCGTGAGAACATTCTCCCGCAAGTTCCCAATGCCCCGACGATAAAATCACCGAAAAGCCCCCCCAGAAGGGTTTTGTCGGTTTTACGTAAGATGTCCCAAGGCCTCGGATGGCTTCCCTAGATACCCCTCCCTTGCCCACTAATTCATAATACAGGGAGTTTGTCTGGCCATTCCGCCCTTTCATACCCGGAGTACAAACCTCTATATAGTTTAGTACCTCCCCCAAGACAATTTCGTAAAAGGTAGTCCTTCAAGACAAATTAGCGTGTGTATATCAACCGAACTTGGCTTTCATACCAAGCGACTATAATGGCGACCATCCTAAAGAAGCAGATAGACCTTCGCAACCCCGCTCCAGGCACTTACACTGCTGCATGGCATGTTGATTGGACGGTCGGCGCTGGTATGGCATCTCCTCCATTACTGCTCGCAGCTTCATCTCGTCTCACAACTGACTTGCAGTGCTTCATGGCGGATGTGTCGCTGCTATGATTCATCATGCCGCCGAGACACATCTCGTAACCGATCCTGTCCTGAACGCCAAGAACCAGCCCGACATCGCCAGTCTACACTTCGAATTTCTTCGTTCCTGTGTTCGACAGGAAAGCACCATCACCATCACCACCTTGAGGATAGGCGCCGCCACGAGCACTCTCCAACTCCAACTGGCACAAAAAGGGCAGGTTAGAGTTACCGCTCTTGCTACAGCGACTAACTTCGACCGAGTCTTGGGTCCTACTGTCCCGGTCCCCATCATTCGAACCCTTTATCCACCTCCCAAGCCCGTGCCCGATTTTGACCGCGTGTTGGCTCATAAGCCTGAAGAAAACTGGATTCCCCTCCAGGTTTCGGGCGAGATCATACCTTTTACCCGCAGGATCATGTGCTTGTATCCGCGTGACGGCTTTCACCAAGATGGTGTCTGCGATGGGTGGAATGGTGTGGGAAATGAGCGGATTGACGCTACCTATCTGGCCATGATGACGGATATGATTCCTGTGAGTGCCCTACATTGTTCATCGTTACTTTTTCTATCCTGGCCCCTTTGTGTGCGAGAATCATGCCTCGGAACACTGCATGGCTCGCGACATCTTTACAGATTTGGCAACTACTGAGACCCTGAATATTATAGTCAATGTCTGATACGCTATTACGCAATGGTGGCTTATACGATGCTCACGATGTCTTCCGTAAATCAAAGGAATGGGCTGAAAAGAACCCAGGTGTTCCCGCTGTGATGACGAATACGGCCGCTGAAGCTATGAAGTCTTTGACATTCAACGCCACTGCTACTTTAGATATTGAATTTACCAGGAATATCCCTAAAGATGACGGACCACGCTTCATCTTTACAAGAACCGCCGCCAACTTGCTACAGGGCGGAAGGATGAACGTTGACGTTACAATCTGTAATGAGAACATGGAACTGATTTGCACCTCGCACCAGCTTATCTTGGTTCTCGAGGCGGAAAGAAAATTCCGCGGCGAGCAAGCAAAGCCTGGGCTCTAGTTCATTTATACTTCACAAGGTAATTATCTAGCGGCCGCGAGGGATGGGCGTTTCGTTCATCTCTTAGCTTGCTCATGGACTTGATCATTTTTTTACTTGGATCCATTTTCTTTCACCACGTGGAAACATTGATAAGTATTGCCAAAAGGATGACAGTCAAAACAGAAGATGTCATGACATTGGTTTCTGGAATCCTACGTTTGCTATTTCCCATTAGCTGTGAGGCCCTACGATCTGACAACTCTATTCGTTTCGCTGATATAGTAGAATTGGATGCCAAGTTAGAAGCTCAATGTACACACTCCAAATTAGGGTAAAATTCAGTCATTATAAGGAAGTAGCTACATATATAATGACATGAAGTCAAATAGTCGTAAAAACGGAACGGTTAATGCCTGGTTGGCTTTAACGGTACATATACGTAACACAAATCTCAGGGAATGCTAACTAAACTAGCTATCCTCAATTATGATGAATTAGCAGGTACAACGGCCGCAAAAGTGATGATGATGTAGAATATCGTTGAAGCTATGAAATGGTAGGCTATCTACCTTCCGGCTCATCAAATAATATTGCGGTAGGTAAGTACAGAATCATCTGGCTCACGACTCACTACTAGTTGAAAGAAAGTACAAACAGCTCTGCGGGTCCTCAGTCGGTGCCGTGGCGGCGATAAGCTCCAAATTTATTTACGTGGCAGATTTCCACCCCCTTCATCAACCGTGATACTAATCCAAGGTCCCAATGCTGCTAGACACTCTTCAGGACCCTCCGCAGTGACTGTCAATTTGCGTTCACAGCGACACCGACCGCGGGTCGGCATCAGTCTCCACCATGACTGCGGTCTCCAAGGTCTCCTCCTCGCCCTCAGTCGCAGTCATTGCGAATTCCAGAATGATCGAATAAAGAATAAACAACTGGACGTACCATTTACTTGGAAAACATATTTACTGACCAACATGTTAGTGCCGTGTAATTCCCCAGCTTTTCAACAGCCAACATGGTTACCATATGCTCGGTTAGCTCAGTTGGTTAGAGCGTCGTACTAATATTATATAATGTCTGATTATGTAACATTGGTAATGCGAAGGTCATGAGTTCGACCCTCATACTGAGCAACTATAATTGTTTAGTCTAAATTAGGAGGTTCAATTCCTCCGGTGTCTCTTTTTTCACTTACCTCCAGTTTTGGAGGGTGAAGAAATCCGTTTAGCGAAAGTTACTAAACGTTACAACTAGGGTTCACTAGAGTAACATTTGCTTAAGGTTACTTCAAATGTGGGTGATAGCGCACAGGCTCAAATGCTGCTAGGGCAGATCCTCATGACCAGAACAGCTTCCAAACAGTATTTTTTTACTCTCCCTTTTTGGCTTGAGATCATGTAGATCTAAGGAGCTGGGATAGTATACTGTACTTGTTACGTAGACAACATGCCGGGAAAAAACAAACGCAGCTCGTGATGTGAAAGTCATCCGTATCTCACACGATATTGCACTACGTGAAGCCAGTTTGCATGCTGGCTGATGAGATGAAGAATCAAAGCCGCGGACTCTGCCGTCTTATTTTTACATGAATCATACTTGATCTTAATATAAACAATCGAAGAGAAATAATTTTCACACCTGACACGCATCCCAAGAGCATGACCTCATCAACGACTCATCTTGCATCTATTGAAGGTGCTTGAGCTGGCGGGCGTGGTGGCGCTTCTTCTTGCCGCCACAGTGGAAGGTCGGCTTCGGCGTCGCAGCCGGGGCACTGACAACCGGAGTACTGGCAACTTGGGTGGATGTGATAACAGCACTTGTCTCAGCAGGAGATGAAGTGTTAGGCACTGCAGCAACAGAGGTAATCACAGCAGAGGTTGCTGCAACAGAGGTGGTTGGGACTGCGGTCGTAGCTGCAGCGCTTGAGGATGCAACAGCGCTGCTAGTGGTAGTAGGGGCTTGATTGGAGGATCCAGAACCAGTGTTGGAGTTGGATCCATCGAAGACAGGCATGGCGGGTCCAGGAATAATGTAATCAGCTGGAGACGACATGTTCTCGTCGTTGTAGATGTTGTGGAGGATGCCCGGGTCAGTCGAGGTGTAGAGCTTCGTGCCAACAACGCCCGAGGGAGATTGGGTACCGGACCCAGTAATCTTGAGATTGAAGCACTGAGGATACATTTGCGCTTTCCCCTCAGTGCCGCCCTCGTGAAGAGCAATGAGCTCGTGACGCCACACATAGTTGCCAGGCTTAATAGACGCGGGGATAGTAGAGGTCCATGTAAAGCCGGTATCGAACAGCAGATCGTCAGCGAACTTGCCAGTGCTACCACTACCAGATCCCAGCTCAAGTTGACCCATCTCGGCGATTTTGAAGAATTTGAGGGTCGTCTTGTCTACCGTGGCGCAGTCACCACCGCAGTCCGCCAGGTAGTCAATGACAGGCCCCTTGTGAGATTCCGGCCATGTATTCCAGGTGATGGAAACTTTGCCACCGGCGGCGGCGGGCGCGGTCAGTACGCCATTGGTGGCGTCCAAATGGCAGATGATGTCCGGATCTTGGACAGCAGACGACAGGACGAAGCCATTATCCGTAGCCCCGTTGCTCCAAACAATGCTGTCTGGCTGCTTAGCGTAAGGAGCGGAGGTCGGGTCAAACCCGATATACGAGACTCCGTCAACGGAGACCTGAGTGACATGACCGTGGGCCGAGACAGTGGCAGCACCGGCAATGGCGGCTAAAAGAGCAGAGCGAGTCATGGAAGGCATGTTGAAGAGTATTCCGAGAAGATGTCGTGGAACTAAAAAAGCAGGCTGTGAATATAGATAGAATGCTCGAGAGGCCGACTTGCAGTACCTAAAGAACAACACTTGACTTCAAGTCAAGAAAATGAATGTATGTAAGTGAGCTGAAGAATCAAAAAAGAATGTAGCGAAAGAGTGGACGTAGAACTACGATGAGTCTAAAAACTAAAATGAAAACATCGAGAAAGTATTGAGGCGATCGGGTTCTTATATTATCTCACTAAAGAGCTCACTCATGATCAAAATTTCGCACCTCCTCTCTACCAAGATGAGGCTCAATCCACTAAGTGGACGTGCCCCTAACCGTGAAGCAGGGAACAGGACGATCCACATGCGAGGACTGGGCCGCCCCAGAGACCCGGTACGACATCAAGATCAGACGAAAGACCGAATTGGTGGAAAGTCTAGGTGGTGAGAGCCAAGATGAGGTGGCTTGCCCTTAATCTTCCCATAACTACGATAACGGACTGCGAAGCGGTTTGTCGGGCGACTCGCCCGCGCATCCTGGTATTTTGCAAGCGACCTTGAGGAGCACCCGCGCAGCTGGGCTGTTTCACATTTTCTCCTTGCGTCGGCCCATCAGCCTCAAATGGAAGCCAAGCATCCCCTTGCTAGGATGCCGGCGCCTGATGATGATTTAACACATATGGCTATCCATTAGTGTGCTGCGTAGTCTGCTCGTCGAGATTAGCAGTGTTTAACTAAGACGAAAATCGAAACCGCCGCTTTATCATGATTGATATCGTGCAGCAGAGCAGACACGGAATATGCCGAGGGCAGCCAGTGAGCCAATAACAACATTATGGGCGCTGTCGGCCGTTTAGAAAGGATTTCTGATTAGTAGGAACTCCATTCAACTAATCTCAAAAACGCCTGGGATGTCTACTAGCTTTGGATAACAAGCGATTCAACAAACGCGTTAATAAGTTCTGAACTATCAATGACTTTCCGGGAAGTTGTTTGAGGCATAGGTGTGGCTGTGTGTGGCTGAAAATTGTGGTACTTGCCGGGTAGGCCACCTCAATAGGGACAGCTAGAGCCAAGCATCAAATGCATCGCCAGAGAGTACGGTAGGGGCCTGGGGAGGAAGGGAGGGTAAAGCAATACCTAATAGCTACTAAAGCCATTCTTACGTCAGAACTGCACGCATTCGCCCTTAACTTTCGAATGATGCGATTCTCCATCTTCAGGGGCAAATTGCGGTGATCAGAAAGAGGCCCTCCTATTAGAATTATACATTATAGTTTTCGGCTTCGTTCGGGCATTAGACCTGAGCTTCCACATCAAAATTGTGGTTCTTGAACAATAAATCATACCCTCTCGAACCGCGCTTCAGCCATGAAGTCTTCCAACTATTCTATTCCATAAGTGGCAAGGTGAAGAGGCCTTTATTATTGTGGAATACGAGAGAGTTGTCAAGATTGACAACACAAGGCTCATGATAATCTTGCAAGAATTAAAGCGTAGCCTGGCCGCGTTCTTGGGAGATCCCTTGCGCTTGGGTCGACAGACCGCTATATATTGGTATTGAACATCTGTGTATCAACCAAGGCATGTTTCCGTCAATCTTCTGGTAATCCGCAATATAGATCTACCAGGCTATTTCTTTTTCTTCTTCTACATCTTCTCTTCGATAGTGTTGGCAGTACAGAGAGTAACTTACATGCCTTGCTGTATTGTCTTGGTAGTAATTGTTGTCGTTCAGATAATGTAAGTAAAGGCAACTGCGTGGGAATTGATTTAGCTGCCTTGATACCTACATTTGCATCCCGGTCAATTAGTAGGGGTTTGGCATATACAACCACCTCTCCGATTCACTGTTGACATTACAACAAAGCTGCTCTTTGGGGTGAATAGTGGTTAGCCAATGAGACATATTATTCAAGTCCTAATGATATGTAGGTATGCCTACGATGGCAGCCACATGAGGGCCGAAATTGGAGGATGTACTTGCACACGGCCCAACTTAGCCACTTCTGGAGGCAGTGTGCTGATACCGAGACCTCCATCACCAGTATAGCCACTGTTGAATCTATCTACTTGCCTACCCAAGATGCCTGTTACCGTCAGACCGTCAATCCACGCCTCAAGAGCATTCTCCATCCATTACCATCACTATAAATCAGTGCTTGTCGGCTGAAATGTTATTTCGTAAAACAATAGAAGACGATCTTCACAACGAACGCTCCAGACCGGCTCCTCTCATGCAAAGACCATTCACATCGGGGCTCACAGATGGCAAAGACGACAGCAGCAGTGTCTTCGAGGCGAAGAATGGCTCTATGCACGCGTGTATGGAAGCATATAAATAGCACCATCGATTGGTTCTACGACTAGAGGACATATGGTTTACCGTGATGACGAACGATGTTGTGAAAATGAATGCAGTATTATTCCACGTTAGCTAGAGAGGTCCTCCAATGTCCGAAAACAGCGAAAGAAAAGCAAAACGATGGACACCGAGAGGCTCTATTGAAAGTATCTATACCTTGACGGTAGACCCCCAGTAGCCAGAGCAGAGATAGGATCTGGAGCTTCAGCTTACAGCACAAGTCGAACCCAATGCACGAAAATAAATAAAGTTAAAATAAGAAAGAAAAAAAAAGGATAAGCAAAGCCAGGGCCATCGCTGCCCTTTATGACCGCATGCTTTTCTCACGGGCTCGCATGAAACTTAAGAGTCAGCTCTTTGACTCGATGGTAATAATTGCTATTACCATCTAGACTCGCTAAGCTTTGTTATAGCTGAAGTTAGCTTAATCTGGTCCATAATCTCATGGTGTTGTGCTAAAGGGACTGATCTCGGGTCTCGGATACCACTTAATGAATTGCGTTTCGGCTCGCCAACGAGGTAAGAATACCCCATTGTCAGCGAGAGAGCAGTGCATTACTTTTGAACGCGTAAATATAGGCCTTCGGTGTTATTAGAAGACAGCCTTACTTGCTGTTCTGAATAGTACTCGCCGTCAACTTCCGTTTAGTGACTTGGATGACCTAGAAGGTGACATGGGCTCGGCGCAGTTAGGTACTATACATCAACTAATCTTTGCAGCAGTCATGAAAGGTAAAATATGGCCTAGATAGTAACGAGGAAGTTGAATAGAGGCCCTATTTTTGGAGACGATTGATATCACAGGAAAGCCATGCTTACGACACGTGATAGGGGCATTATTAATTCACAACCTAACGGCTTAGCCTCAAAATCATCCGAAAACGACTCTCGAGATAATATATATGATGCTTCGAAACATGAACGCTTTACGGTGACCTAACCTATGCGATGCTCCAACTCCAATATGCAGAGACTCGACTGCTTGCTCAAGGC